CGATCACGTATAAATATCCTCGAGTATGTATAAAGATTGGCGCGTGAATTCACCGTTGGACATTTTTGTTGTGCGTTCATCACGGTGTTAGCTGTACCATACAGAAGCGATCTGTTTCCAAACTTTTAGGGAGACAGATGAGACCAAAATTGTAACCTCAAAGGAATCTCATTCACGTCAATTACTGTTATTTTAAATTTTTGGTGGCCAGTTATCTTAAGGAATATTAATTTTGTTTGAAGTAATTTTGATATCCCTGAAGAAATCGACCTATGAAATTAATTGCATGACCAGATTTTGTATTGTACTGCCATACTGCTGTTGCCTAATATTCCCACCCTTAGACTTTTAGGGCAAGAAGGATATCTAGATCTTATTATTGATTTATTTGCTGCTTTTAATGATCTCAAAAGACTGTTTTTCTGATCTAAATTCACAAATTTTCTTTATTTATTTCAATTCGAAGTAAAAATAAAAATTGTGAAAGTATTTTTAAGGAAGTGGCGTCACCCCTGTTCCTAAGGGATGACACTTGCGCTGCTGCGGGTAAATTTGCTTTGCTTATTTACATCCAGACTATCACTGTGCAAAGCGGCTTGGTTCCATCCAAATTTAATTTTCAAGTAGACATAATTCGAACGGAATTTTTATTTGAATTAATTCAGCCTGATGAAGTGAATTCGGTTCGGTATTAAAGCACCTGTTTGAGTGGAAGTAGTAGAAACTTTAGTTAACAATTCGGGCCACGCTTTATTTAAATTAACGAATTAAAAAAGCATTAATTTGATTCGGCGGTAATTGAAGGATTTTGACTATAGCTCTAACACTGGTTTTTTTTTCGAATTTTATTTATAGAGATAAGTAAAGTGGAGATTTTTGAGATTTTAATGGTTAGAGCAGTTTAGGCATTACACATAGAAAATCTACCGCGCGAAAAATTAAAGTGGAATTAACAACCGTCTTTCCTGTATCTTTTGATTTCTATGGTGTATTGTTTTCATAATGGGTTTCGGAATTCGTAGACTCCAGTGGGTCGGAGATAAAAAAGGAAATCTTTCTCAGGAAGGTTTCTATTGGAAAGATAGCTAAGATAGGATAACGGGGCACTGAGGTCATTCGCTTACATTGTGATAATACAACTCGGCAAAAGTCACAGCGTAGTTTTTTTAAGCACTCGTCCAAGTAATGTGCATTTCGAGGGGTTATAGCGAATCCGCTTGGATCTCAAAGAAAGATGGTTCGCTTACTGAAATAAGTAAGGGAGGTCATCCCGGGAAGAGATTTCACATTCATTCGGTGGTAGGCTACTATATCGCCGTGCAGCTAAAAGCACACTAATTTTTTGCTAGGTTAGCCAGACTAAAAAGTTACCCTTTCTGATCAACATAAAACCAAATAATATAAATCGCGAGAGAAATCGTGAACGCTGAGGACGTACATTCTAAATTTTGGTGCTATCGGGGATTTTGGTTAAACGGAAATATTCGCGTGACTTTACACATTTTATATTGGAAAAAACAAATACCAAAAGCGAGTTAATTGAATGTGTCAGTTTATAACACCACGAAAAAGAATTGTATAATTGGACGAAAAAATGGTAACATGCGCTTTTATTATAGTCTTCCAAGATATGATAGCACCAAACAATGCTGAGACTCTTGAAAATTTTCGGCAGAAACCTCCTCATCCTTTAATGAAACCTTTTCCTGTGTCTTCGCTATTTTTAAATCATACTTTACAAACATATCCTTCTCGACTTCCGACGTAAGAATGGTTTTATCCACCTTTCACAATGGATCATGGCGTCTATTTGCCCTATCTTTTATATTTTATACAGAGTGGCCCAACGAGAAGTATACAGAGGGCTTTTAGGGTATTAAATTAAGAAATTTCGAAAAATCCTCGAACACGTCAATTTTGTATTCGAGGGGGACAACTTTTGGAATACAAATCACGAACCCAAGTCTTCACCCCTCTACGTAGGGAGCTTAACCCCTAAAATTTTAAATAGAATCATATGGCAAATGGCACATTATTTGAAAGCCAATTTAATCGTGATTACTAATCTGCTTTGCTTTTTAAATTCTATTGATTCGTTTCGGAGATATTCGCATTTGAAATGAAAAAAAAAACAAATACGATCTAAGTCACCTTGTATTAAAGGTTTAAATTGTGCAAAAAATAACAAATAACTTTAAACAAACAACATTTATTTCAATAAATGCTCGAATTGCCTTCCGCCTGCTTCCATGCAGTAATAAAGATTTGCTTCAAAACGCTGCCGTACATGTTGCAAGATTTCAGGGCTAATCACTCGAAATTGTTGAGTTATACCATAGTGTATTCTATTCTTACACTATGGTTATACGTGCTCGCAACCTTTGTAATGTTCCGGGCGGAGTAGCATAAACTTTATTCTTTAAATATCCCCACAAGAATTAATCTAAAGGACTTAAATCATGGGAAAAAACCATTTCAAATGCGAATATCTCCGAAACGAATCAATAGAATTTAAAAAGGAAAGCAGATTAGTAATCACGATTAAATTGGCTTTCAAATAATGTGCCATTTGCCATAGGATTCCATTTAAAATTTTAGGGGTTAAGCTCCCTACGTAGAGGGGTGAAGACTTGGGTTCGTGATTTGTATTCCAAAAGTTGTCCCCCTCGAATACAAAATTGGCGTGTTCGAGGATTTTTCGAAATTTCTTAATTTAATACCCTAAAAGCCCTCTGTATACTTCTAGTTGGGCCACTCTGTATATTCGTCCTATATAGCCCGTGGCAAAAATCATTTGCTGCCAAATTTCGACCCATATATTGGAGTGTCCTTACGACCACATCAGTTAGTATTTGCTACCAAAGGCGATGTTGAACTCGAATCCATTCTACCAGACGTTATTTTTAGTACCCTCATAGATGCTACTGAAGATCGACTTCATGAATCCCTTTAATATTATGCAAAATCAGCACAACTATCGAAAGAGGAAATTCTGCATCTGTGTTAGGGACCTTACAATTTTCTAGGTTTGACCTAGGGTTTGACAAAAAAGTCAAAATTTTAATTCAAAGAAGGGTGGTTCAACTCCTTTTATGCATATCTCCAAAGTGAATGGTATCACATTGAATGGAATTTTTAACCCACGCTTAGGTAATTCAGTAATTGGATGATCCTTGGTTAACTTCTCAAATTAAGTTTTCAATTACAATTCTGCTGGAATAAATTGTAGCTTTTAAGTATTTTTTTTTCACTTTGAAGGAAATTATAATCTCCATTAATTCAGATTACTTAATGGAATTTCAGGCAATTTAAAATGTGTGGGTGATATGGTATTTATGCGATTCCCAATCGAAAATGAAATCCCAATCATATGAAACAGACACTACTGTCCGATATTTTGAACAATGTTCCCCTTCATGACTAAGACAACGCACCAAAACAAAAACATGTCAAACGAGAAGTAGAATTTCGTTTAGTTTACCTAACCGATCGTTACATAAAACTCGCATTCCAGAATGATGCGCTGTTAACGATAACGTTGTTTTTTTTCCCAACTAACGGACCACTGAAAAGATCTTCCGATGTGCAAAAGTTTACTCACCCTATCAGGTGAGTCATTTCGACTTACATTTCGCTAGGTTTTTGCTAATATTACCTGTTTATGGCAGCTGCTCTCACTATTAGTATGTTGAAGAGGTGCGTGTAATTTATTGGCATTAGGCGAGGCAAACGACACATGAAGAATTAATCATTCTTCGTGTGCTGTTTTTTTGCAATGCACACCAAGCGTGTCTGTAATTGTGGTAAACATTGGGATGTATCATCAACAATCTCATCAGTTATGAATATGATACAAAACAAAAACTGCAAATGATTCACTACCTGAGAGATTAGCATGATGATTTAGGAATGATAAGCGTGGTTGGTAATCTCACATAATTTCGGTTGTAATTACGTAAATTCAAGTTTAAGAATTTAGATCAATTACATCCTGTGTGATAAATACCTACTGGTCACAATTCCAATTGCGGTTTAGGACGTGGAATGGTGCTAAAATACAGCTAAATTGAGACAACAATTTAAAGCTCCCACAACTAGTGTTGATTTAAATCTTTCATAATTATTGAAAGGGGTGTTTTTGATACAACGTGCGAGTGAGAAATTTCATCCCTTAACGTTTGTCGCAAGTTGCAATGTAAAGAGGCTCATTTTATTACTAAATCAAATAGATCTTGAGAAATAAATTTCCTTTCACTATAAATACCACATTTCTAACATTCAGTTCCCTTCACATGTCAACATGGCAATAAAATTGAAGGATTGGCAGCCGCGTACCTGAGATTCTCATGTTTGCGAGGATGATTTGACGGGACGTGAAATTCAACATAAAATTTTCTACATACTTACTTCCTAAATAAACCGATACAACGAAATATCGAAGGATCCTCAGTATTACAATCACTTTTAACGACAATTTATTTTAATCTTACAAAATACATTTTATAGTTAACAAAAATGCATCCCATTCATGTCTTGGGCTTTGAGATAATGCTCTTGGTTTTTTTCCCAACGATCTTGGTGCATAAATAACGATTTTGACATGTTTTGATCAAAATCCATGTGGTTCATAAAAATAGATCAAATTCATGTTTAGATCATTGAGATAATGCTCTTGATCTTTTTCCCAACGATCTTGGTGCATAAATAACGATTTTGACATGTTTTGATCAAAATCCACGTTTTCGCCAAAAATTTATCAAATTCATGTCTTGGGCATTGAGATAATGCGCTTAGTCTTTTTCCCA